GGTTTTATGGAGTCACTCATAGGTGACATGCAAAAAACATCTGCAGCCAGTACAGTTTCAGACTGTATTACTTGAAATTTGTTAAACTAGCATATGGGAACTGAGGTCTGGTGTGTTGTGACTGGACTGATCTTCCCTCATTTAAATAATATGTTGAACAACTGGAGCATGTGTATAGAGGAGAGCAAAGAGAAACTAGTGAGGTAGCTGGAAACATGTAATTAGAAAAGTGGTTAAAGTACCTGAGTGTTTATTCTAGAAAAGATAGTATTTGGAGGCATGTGTTGACTGCCCTTAGGTGTTAGGGGAGTACTTATTCGGAAGGGCTAGCAAACTAGCTCAAACAGTAGAATTAAGACCAATAGGTGAAAGTTAAGTGACATGGTCAAAATCTTGGAAAGTCTTTAAAGTATTTGAAGGTAGCTTAACAGGAAATACTTCCCCATCACTAGATAGGAGATAGTGTGGAGAGGCTTTTGGCTGATCTGCTGGATCATTACATACTTAGCTGATGGATATTATGTTTATATGATAAATAAGTATATTGGACTAACCATAGCTTCTTTAAACCTAGAAATTCTGATATTGGGTTATGAATAAATACGTGACTCTGACATGAACAATTTGTGATGATCTCTCAACTTAAATTGGTATGCCTTTTTATTCTGTCGTATTAACATAGGATCAAACATCTTTTCTCTGAGACAGTATCAAGTTCATACTTTAATTTTATGAAATATTTATTTTAAACCATTCTTAAAGTGATAGCTGTGTATTACTTTATCTCATAGGTAGTCTCCTTTTCATGTCTTTGTTGCTTCAAGTAAAACAATGTTCATTGGGGGAAGATGTCTAGGGATTATGATTATTCTGAAGACGCTTTCCTGGTTAATAATGTAATTGATAAAATGTTTTCTTTCACAGGTGGTCAACCTGTTGATGGGAATTTTGCTGACTGTGGAGGTAACGCGTCCAAACTCAATGCCAGCTGTCAACATTCAGTATGAAGTCATTGGCAATTACTATTCATCTGAGAGAATGACTGGTATGTCTTTAGTTGAAACCATCTCCTGCTAATTATGCACACACTTGTGACTTAGGGGAGGAGTGATTAAATTATGTTTGTTATTATATTTGCTGAGGCATAAAATGTTTTCCTAGGTTTTTCGAAGATACTTTGAGAATTATAATTGAGCATTTATAGCCAGAAAAGTAATGGACTGCTAGAAGATTTTTGAGAAATATGTATTGTACATTGGTCATTGATTTCTGTGGGGTACTGTGGAGAGAGGAAGGAGAGAAGGAATTACAAAGACCGAGCGTTTGGGGGTCAGCTGACTAGTGTAGCCGAGGATGGGAGATTTGCTTGTGAAGCAAAATCTTACAGTCAAGTATAAAATATGAATTATTTGAATATTTGGTGATATCTTTTGCTCAGGGTACCAATTCTAAATATATTTCTGTTATTTAGATGAAGACTGGACATTTGGAGTTAAAAATAGGGTACTCCTAGAACATTATGGGGATTACCTTTTAAACCTATTTAATTCCCTGAGAGCAGTATTTTCATTATTTATCTTTCTTTAAAATACAAGTTTAATTTTATATTAAAAATTATGTTAGGAATTTAATATTTGAACAGAAAATTATCCTTCAGACTTTTCAGGGTAAACAATTTCTTATTTAGAAAAATTTCACTTCAGATAAATGTTCCCAGTTCACATGTGTTATATTTGTAATATTACAGGATCTTCATTATAATATTTTTAGGTTATCTTTTATCATAAAGTTCTGCAGTTCATTGCATTTTGATCTCTGATCTATTAATGAAGTTTTTTTTTTCTAATTTGATTCATTGTCAAATGATTCATTGTCCACAGGGCTAACCTATTTCTAGGAGCCAGGTAGAGTTTTGTGGCCATCAGTTACATATATTGTAGTGTGATAACACTAATAGTTGTTCATATTGTGTTTTTAAAGTTGTGTTTTTTTAAAATGAGTCTCCTGGTTGTCTTTTCAAATATAGTCTGATCCTTTGGTTTTGTTGTCAAATTGAGAGCAGAAATACCAAGAACATATAGAAACTATTCCTTCTAGTATTTGATTTTTTTTTCTGAGTAATCTTTTTTTTTAACCAAAATAGAACAATAAATAAAATTGTGCTGAAGCTGCTAATGTCAGCATTTTCCCTTGTCGTGTGTGTTTCTCCTCAAGCTGAGGCACAGAAAAAGACTTACAGTCATTGAGATTCTTGGAGGTCTGTGCACTGGTTCTTTCAGAGCTGCAGGGAAGAGGTCACAGGTTTATTGCCTGTTGCATGAGTGTTATCGCTGCTGCAGAGAAAACCAGATGTATTCATTATCATGTTTTTGTTGATTATAATTCTGTCAAAGCCATGTTATTGAGAGAATATAAAAATACATAGTTCCTGGCCGTACGGTAGTTGGTATTTCTTTGGAAACCGAGTTTCCCACAGACCCAGTGTTACAGAGGTAAGTTAATTTCTGGTCATTGGCCTGATAACTGATTTTTTAAAATGAGGTTCACGATTAGTTATTTTGAATCAGCCAAACAGGAAATGACACTTTGTGTATATGAACTACTTCTGCAGCATATGCAGGCTGTTTTTCAAATATGAATGTGTCCTTATTTATATTCACGTTGGAGATGGATGAAGACTTAGGGGCGTCCCGGAGAAGATGCTGAATGTGGTGGTGGGTAGGTGGAAACCTGAGACTCGTATCCGGGCATCTAGCCCCTCATATTCTGTTTGCTTTATTGGTTCACAAGTACTGGAGTGTCTCTGGCTCCAGGCATTATATGTATTTCCCACTCATCACCCATCTCGCCTCTGTTTTGCTATTTGTTGCTCCAATGAAAGACCTTGAACTTCACTTTAACTATTATTTCCATACTTTAAGAAATGGAAATAAATACGTAGTCTTCTGGTAGCAGATTCTAGAAAGCTGATTGTTTGAATAATAAATTTTGCTTTCACGTTTGATAGTACCTGTCCTGTTTAATTTCATATTTGTTTATATTTGATTTCTTCCCTTTGAGTGCCATTTTGCATGCTGCAGCAGGGAAGTCCTTTAAATCCTTACCATTTAGCTATCCTCTATCCTCTAGGAAAATCTAAAGAGGGCTGTTCTTAGTTTACTGCCAATCAGTGATGCTGTTTGAATTGCCAAGTGACAAGATGATACATGACATTTAGTGAATAGTGTGAACATTAAGCATTGAGTCTACTCATTCGTCATTGTTAGTGCCTGAAAGGTTCTTAATATCCATCCAGAGTCACAGTCCATTTTAGATTTGTACTAAGAAACTCATCAAGTGTGGTTTAGTACTGATTAAGTTACATGGGTGCTTTTTGAGAAAATTAGTGAACTTGGATTAATGTAGAGAAAGGGAACAGCCTGAGGAAGAGTTGAGCAAAGAAGAACATAGACTGTGTGTAGCAGAGAAGCTAGGGTGAAAGGATGTGGAGCCGGGAGTCTGGATGTCGGCATTGGGTGGGGGTAGGGGGAGGGATTAATGGAGAGCCTGGAATTTCAGATTATTTATTTTATCTAAAGCGAGAGGAGACATCTGTAGCATTCTGTGTTTAATATATCTGTCTTTTAAGCAAATATCAGCCTTTCCCTCTGGTTGAGCCCTTCTTATGTCACAAAACCCAACTTGTGTCATTTCTTTCATATTTTTTCCTAGATTTTACAGGCAAAACTAGTTGTTTCTGCTTCTGTTGTAGCCCTTGCCACATTGGATTATAATTGTCTATTTGCACATCTTCAGACTCTCAGACTCTGGGCAGAGATCTTCTCCCTAGCAGAGTATCTGGCTCATGTGCCATCCTAAATTAGCATCAGTGAGTTGTGGCAATTTAACAAGAGAAACAAAGGTGTGAGTTTCTCAAACTGTATTAGTTGATGCTGAGGCAGATTTTTTTTTTTACTCTCTTGGCCTTAGATTTTTTTTCCATAGCCAATCTTGAAAATACTCAGTTTTTTAAGCTAGATTTAAAACATTATTTTGTCATAAAGAGTTTACTTTTTTGGTTACATGAGTAGCTTATTTACATTTTGGTTTTTGTTTTCTTAGATAATGCCTATGTTCTTTTTGCTGTCTCTGTTCTTACGTTTATAATCAGTTCAGTGCTGGTACATGGAGCAATTTCTGTAAGTATTCTGTTTTCAACTTTCAGTATTCGACCTTTTACTGAGTGATACTTAGTAATTTCATACATGTGGTTTCTGCTTTTTCTCTTCAGTATCAAGTGGGTTGGCTGATTCCGTTCTTCTGCTATCGGCTTTTTGACTTTGTTCTCAGTTGCCTGGTTGCTATCAGTTCTCTCACTTATTTGCCAAGAATCAAGGAATATCTGGATCAATTAGTAAGTGTGTATGCTAATTAAACTCTTTCTTTTAAGTAAAATATTTACATAGAAATTTGGAGTCATCTTAGGTACTATTCTTATTAATCTGTCCTCTCTATTTTTTAAAGTGTTTTAAAATAATTATTATTACTACTCTTACCGACCATGTTGAAACCAGTAAGATGAAAATAGAATATCTTCTTACCATACCGTTTGGATAATCCAGTATAAAAAGTCCCTAAAGAGAGATATCATAGAACTTCAGAAGTAGTTCAGCTTTTGTTTTGAGCATATGAAAAGTATTATAATTCAGCTGCATTTGGCACTCATTGGAGTTTTAGCTTTCTGTCTTTGCAAGCATCTGTAGCAAATGTTTGAGTGCTTACCATATCCCTTCACTCTATTCTAGGCAAATTGTTGGTGAGTGGTTTAGATATGAACATAAGTTCCTTCTCTTCAAGGAGCAAACCATGTATTTGGGGAGCTAAGACATGAAGATCTTACCTGTGATAATGAACCAGGACTGTCCCATGACAGTAAATGAGGTGCATGGATTAATTTGGTATTCTTAAGATGTGTTCTAGGTTATCACAAAGTGCAAAATGGAGGTGCCATGGCTGAATATAAGTGTGTGTATATGTTTAATTAATAAACTGTTTTTTAGAGCAGTTTTAGGTTCATAGCAAAATTGAACAGAATGTACAGAGAGTTCCCATATACTCCTTCCCCCACCCTACTAGCCACATCCTAAACCACAGTGGTACGTTTGCTGTAATTGACGAACCTGCATTGACACATCATTATCACCCAAAATCCGTAGTTTACATTCGGGGTCATTTTTGGTATTGTCCAGTCTTTAGGTTTGGACAGGTGTCTGATGACATTTACTCCTCATGGTAGTATACAGAATTGTTTCCCTGCTTTAAAAATCTTTTCTGTTTCACCTACTCATGCCCCCCTTTTTTATAGCCTGATTTTCCCTATAAAGATGACCTCCTGGCATTGGACTCCAGCTGTCTCCTGTTCATTGTTTTTGTGTTCTTTGCCTTGTTCATCATTTTTAAGGTGAGTTGCTTACTGAATATTTGGGGAGCCTTTTGGACTGTGACCACTGTCCATCTCAACCTTCTTGTTGGTTATCTCCTTCCAGTTCACAGTGAGTGAGTGTTTATTCTGACATAGTACAAGAGATAGCTTTTAGGCAGTGTCCTCCATCTTCCTTCCAGGCAGTGGTTGGAAATGCCAGGATTCTTCCTAAGTGTAACACTATTATGTTTTTGGATGTGACTCATGATTTGGACTGAAAATCTGTTGAAATTCCCAAGGTCCAGAAACAAAACTTCTTCTGTAGCACAATGATTGCCACACCTGAAATGAAATGCCAACTCTGGTTTCTCTGTAAAACGGTGATAATAAAACTTGAGACATTTAAGTGAGAGCAAGTAGAGAAAGCGCCTGTGTTAGGTCCAGATGGATGTCACTTCCCTTCTCCATAGAGAAAACATAGGGGAGAGCATTAAAAGTCACCTTAATTTTAGAGCAGGTAATCTGTCGAGTTTCGAGCATATGTAAATTTTGTTTGTATTCTTTTAGGCTTATCTAATCAACTGTGTTTGGAACTGTTACACATACATCAACAACAGAAACATGCCAGAGATAGCTGTGTACCCTGCCTTTGAAGCACCTCCACAGGTGAATGACCTTTTAATATATTTAAACTTCACTGACCATTATTGATTATTCCCAGAAGAAGAATCTGGATCTTGACTTTGTCTTTGATGCCATAACTGTGGTTTCAGGCATGGGTAGCTTAAGTCCACCAGTTTCAGCATCTCTTAGTTGGAATCCTGGGTATGTGGGCTAGAGACACTGTGCACTCCTCATCTCGTCCTGTTCAGCCATTAGGTTTGGTTTCTAAGTGGTCTCCAAGAGTTGCATTTTTGTGGGGAGATCAGACAGGGAACAGCAGTGTGAGCAATGCCAGGCTCTTGGCTTCTGGAACTTCTAAAGTTAGGGTACCATTGGCTGTAGTATATGTTGCTTTCAGAAACATTCACATGATGCAGAGGGGAGGCTGCATTTCCTTTGGGGAGACGAGTGCGGTGGGTACCTCTCGGGGCCCTCTAGTTGCTGCTATGCTGTCTTCCCAGGTTTCCAGCATGTAGATTATATGTGACCCATGTAGGGCCAGCCTGTCACATGGGAGTCACTTAGGTTAAAGTTCCACCCTCCTACGTAGATGTGCCTTTTACCCTAGAGCAAATGATACAAGTACCTGATGCTTGGACTACAGATTGTGATGAAATTCAAGATCCAGCCACTTATTGGAGGCTTCATTTAGCATGGTACAGAGGGGCCCTTATCCAAGATCCTCAGTTCCTAACATGTACTTGACATTGCTGCTTTATCAGTCACACTGGAGCAAGGGGAGGGTGGTGGCAGGTACCACCTGTCAAGGTGTCCTGGTGGCGTCAGGGTCAGTTCAGAAGCAAAAATTTGTCTGCCCTCACCCCGTCCTTCCATCCATGCATCTCTAGCAGTCTTGAATCAGATGTGTCACCTGCATGTAAATAAAGTTACAGGTTTTTAGCTTTACTCTCAGGAACTGCAGTTGACCCTTAGACAACGCAGGTCTGAACTGTGAGTGTCCGCTAATATGCAGATGCTTATAGTACTATGCGATCTACAGATGGTTGGATCCACAGATGTGGTACTTCAAATATGCAGGGCTGACTGTAAGTTATACGTGGATTTTTAACTCCGTGGATGGTCGGCACCCCCTAACTCCCACATTGCTCAAGGGTCAGCTGTACTTAGCTAACAGTTTCTTCAGCTCTTCTCCATGAGTTTGTATACCCCTGTTTGAGATATGAAATCTGAAAGCTAAATTATTTCAGATAGGATCTGAAAGGAGAACTAAGTTCAATATAATTTTTTTCTCTCTTCAGTATGTTTTGCCAGCCTATGAAATGGCAGTGAAGATGCCTGAGAAAGAACCACCGCCACCCTACATACCTGCCTGAAGAAATTCTGCCTTTGTCAATAAACCCTGTACCAGCTTTTTGTCTTGTTTATTTTCAGAATGCTGCAATACAGGTCTCTTCAGACTTGTTTGATATAAGGTACATTTTCCTTTGTTTAAGTATTTATTTTTAAACACTAACAAGCTTTTTGGGCATCTGCTAGAATTCAGAGTTCGTTGTTGTTGTTAAGTATATTACATTTAAATAGTTGTTGAAAACAACGTAGGTTAAGCAAGAGCAAAGTGCCATTGTTTGCCTTTGACTGGGGGGTGGGGAGGGGTACTCTCCACACATTTTCTTTTTTAACTCCGCACTTTCTTTGTATAATAGTTTGCATTTTGGTTATTTGCTGCCCTGGATACTTCCAGGAAGAATGAATTAAATATTCAGCATGAGTGAGCTGAGTATAAGATCTGGAGTTTTCAACTATGAAAATAGGAAAAAATATATAACATTTTAACTTGACTGTGGAAGATGATGGTTGCATGTTTCTAATTTGTATGTTTCCACCTTTGTGATAAGATGCTTTAATAAATCTCTTAAATATTTGTTGGCTTTTTTAATCTATTACCATTTTTTGGTATATGAAACACAACATTTTCTATTACAGTAAACTCAGACTGCCAGGCTTTTAATTTGAAAATATTTCTTTAATCCAGTAATTGAAATATTATTGAAAGTTATGGCAAAATGGTACTTGAACTCCTGGACAGAAATTACACTAACATTGATGGTTTGATAGAAAAATTGTATGATTAGTATAGTGAGCTATGTTTTTATGTTGAGATAATTTAGTCAGGGAATGAACTCTTCAAGAATAATTCAAAGTAAAATGTATCAGTTGAACTTCAGAGTATGTTTTACTGAAACCTTTATGGTTTTAGAATATTTCAGAATCAGGGATGGCTTCTCTGGGGTAGGTCTCACTTTGTATAAAACTGTAATGGAAATCTCAAGATCAGGTTTTCTTGATTGTTGCTGCTGGCTTAAATCTATTGTTCTCGGTTGAAGATCATGCTAAGCAGTATTTAGATACTAACCCAGCTGGTACCAGCCTTTTGATACTGGTGCAGTTACATCACAGTTTGAACATATCAGGACCCTGATCTGGTGGGGCCCCTTTTAGTGCTGGGAGTTTGGCCCGCAGTCTACATAGCCAGGCTCAGCAGCCCCAGCTGGGCATGCTCCTCTCCCTGGGGTGGAAACGATGACCATTATGACCGCTAATCACTACTTCATTCGAAGCAGGTTTATCTCCTGGAAAAGAACATAGACCTTAGACTTTAAATAAGAGAACAGTCATAGAATATGTTAAATCCCAATCATTTCCCCCAAGGAAGAAGAGAAATTTATTGTGAAGGGGTCGTTTTCCAGTAGTGGGAAATCTTGTCACATAACAGGTAAATATCCTAATAAATATGCCAAAAACTGTTTGCCAAAACAATTTTTAACAGATTAAAAATTAACAGATAAAAGCCATTTTTCTTCCCTCTGCTAGTTCTAGAGAAAAACTTTAGTAGGTGACTTAGTGTATTTGATTCTAAAATGAAGATAGAGACAAGATTGAAAGATAACTGTTGGACTTGTGGTTACCAGGGGGGTGGAGGGTGGGAAGGGATAGACTGGGATTTCAAAATTGGAGAATAGATAAACAAGATTACACTGTGTAGCACAGGGAAATATACACAAAATGTTATGACAACTCACAGAGAAAAAAATGTGACAATGAGTGTGTATATGTCCATGAATGACTGAAAAATTGTGCTGAACACTGAAATTTGACACAACATTGTAAAATGATTATACATCAATAAAAAATGTTAAAAAAAAGAAAGATAACTGTTGAAATACTTAGCCCTGTTTTTAAAAATATGTAGCAACTTCACCTTAAGTGAGTAGCTCATACATTTCACCATTCTAACTCCGAAATTTGACACTCCCCTCGTATTCCCACAAAATGTCTCAGGAGGTATTGATGCCCTCCTAAACCACGAAGTTCTGTTACTGTTTCTAACTTCAGTTCTGGTTTTTATCATTCATTGTTAACTACCGAACCTTCAAAGTCACTTTTCTCTTGGCCTTCAAAATATTTTATTGAGGTTTGCCTATCCTTTTAATCTAATCAGTTTCCTTCTCTTGCTGTTTTCATCCACATTTACATTTGTCCATGCCACTCTGTTCTGGTTTTGGCCATTTTGCTTCACTTTCTCAGCTTTTACTCAACACTAGGAATGTAGCTGCAAAAACTTGTAGAGTTTTGTTTCTGAGTCATGTCAACCTGAGAGTCCTGTGAGGATCTTGTTTCCAAAATTGAGCTCACCATAATATACGTTCTCTCTGGCATTAGCACATTTGCTGTGTTGGGAAGGGTGGGGTCTTTCTGTTGGGTTCCAGTTCTCACTTCTGCATAATCTTGAGCAAAGTTTAATGCAGTTCAACTCAGAAGTTTTCAGCATGTACTTTGTTTCAGTTGCAAGAAATACAGGAGTGGGCAAAATGTAATTTAAAAAATTCCTTAGTCTTATTTTAGTGGGAAGAGACAGAAGATTTAAAGTTAACTGTAAGCTGTATAGTAAGTGATAGAGCTAGGGAGGAAAAAAGGAAACAAGGAAAGAGGATGAAGGGTGCAATTTTAAATGGCAGGAAAGTCCACACTTAGAAAATGACACGTGAGCAAGACCCGAAGCACGAGGGAGAAAGAACATCCCAGGCAGAGGGGCTGGTGTATTCAAAGCCAGTGAGCTTGGTAAGTGGAGAGGGAGGAGAGTGCGCAGTGGTGGGTGACAAGCTCAGAGAGGTGTTACATTGGCCATTATGGGTCATTACAGTGACTCTTAGTGGCAAGAAACTACAGGAGGTTTCCAAACAGATGAGAGTCCCAAAATGACTTATGGTACAATTTCTCTGAGTCTGTTTTCTCACTTGGAAAAGGACTCATAACTCACAGAGTTGTAAATAAATGCTATAATTCATATGCTTACCCTGGTACAGAGCGTATTACATGACAAAAAAATCGGCTGCTGTAAAACAGACTGTACAGAGGAGTTGTTGATAAATCACATAATGGATTCAGACAAATTTGGTTTTAAACCCCAGTTCTGCCACTGATTTACCACATGAGCGTGGCCAGGTTACTTAACCTCTGTGAGCTTTAATTTGCACAATATCTTCCTAAGATGAAGATGGTACAGTGCTTCTTGGCACAAGGGCAGACTTGTAAGTACTCAAAAGAATATAACATGAAATATTTAAAAATTCTTCAGTAAATAGTCAATTCTGTAAATTGGCCATTTCCTCCTTTGACCCCTCCCCTCCCCCGCCCCCATCTACAGCACTTAGCACAATGACCTACTCAAACCGGGGTTGTTAGGGGTGTAGTAAATGTTTACTGAATGAAACAATTTGTCTCTACAAAATTTTCACTGCTAATAGATTCTTTTTTTGTATAAATTGGGTATCATCCAAATGTGAGGCACATCACACCTACATTTAAAGGGTCTTAAAATATGAAAAGAAGAGACTACATTGATAAATTGTACCTTTTATTCCTCCTGTTTGGTGGTGTCCTGATTGCTCTGTTTTCCCGTCTGTGACTAATTTGTTTAGTCATC